AACTCACCTCAAAAACAAGTTTTAGGCTCTGAGCTCCCAGTTTTTTAGCTTCTCCCTCACCAGAGACTAGTGGTACTCATACTAGTGGTATCACTATATTTATATTTTTGAGACGAATCATCAAACTTGCCATACTTTTGTGGTGTAATGTAGTTTGAAAGGCTCCCACATGATTTCTACACCATCTTAGCTCTTTTACCTTCAGTGGCCGCATGGAAAGTGGTGTAGTGGTGTAAGTGGTCTGAGGCAAGGTAACATGAAATTAATTTATAATGTATTCTAATTTAAACAAGCTATGTTATTTATATATAACAATTTCCGTATATGAACGATAACTTATTTTTAAGCTTTGCTGATGAAACTTAGTCTACAACTCAGTTTTCTCTTCAATTTTTTGTGGCTTGAACTATCGCTGCTCTCGGAAGACAATATCCCCATTTTTGTCGTTTTTCAGTTTTTGACATAATGTGAAAATGCCTGTTGCTCCTTACATTGTGTGTAAATTTCATGATGAATGGACCAAAACAAATGGCCCAAAATGACTTGTAAAAAAGTCTGGTTCCATTGACTTACATTAAAAGTAAAGTAGGTTTTTTCTTGTTCCTGTAAAGTTACCATTTCAGAGGTACGGCAACAGCGATATATTAAATATAGAATCAAATACCAATGTTATGAACAAATACTGGAGGGTTTAAATTATTCTGGCCAACCCCATTATTTTAAAATAATTTTTGTTTTATTTTATTGTATGTTGCAACTGAGTTGTAAAATTTCCCTGCATTTAATAATAAAATCCGGCAGCATTGCCTCTCGCCTATTCTCCTAACTCCTACTCTCCTCTCTCACGCACACACAGATGGATGACCTCTGTAGTTATCAGAGGGGATCATGTCACATTAGATGCTTAGTGAGTAATGAGAATGCTGAGAGAGGAGGGGTGTGTGTGGGTCTCAAACTGGCAACGCTGATCTGGGAGGATGTTTCATTCTGCTCTGCTCCGTTAAGCTCCCTGACTCCAGGATCAGACAGTTGGCTTTTCACAAGTCATATCAGACTGGATTACACAGGCACACACACATAATAGTGGGCGGTATGGTGGCAGAGATATCATAATGCTTGTAGACATTTTAATGATACATGATATGTTTCACAATATTTAAATATTTCAGGTTTTACAAACACATTACAGCACCAAGTGCGTACAGGATTTTTCTAATCTGACATTTGAAAAAGGAAATTATTTAATAAGAAACAGGAAGAAAAGTCAACCAATTGAAACCAATGGGACGTCCAAATAGAAACTCGTTTCTGTGCAGTTTATACAGTTGCTATACACCGGTCAGGCATAACATTATGACCACCTCCTTGTTTCTATGCTCATTGTCCATTTTATCAGCTCCACTTACTATATAGGTGCACTTTGTAGTTCTACAGTTACAGACTGTAGTCCATCTGTTTCTCTGCATACTTTGTTAGCCCCCTTTTACCCTGTTCTTCAGTGGTCAGGAACCCTGTGGACCCTCACAGAGCAGGTCCTATTTGGGTGGTGGATCATTCTCAGCACTGCAGTAACACTGACGTGGTGGTGGTGTGTTAGTGTGTGTTGTGCTGGTCTGAGTGGATCAGACACAGCAGTGCTGCTGGAGTTTTTAAACACCTCAGTGTCACTGCTGGACTGGGAATAGTCCACCAACCAAAAATATCCAGCCAACAGCGTCCTGTGGGCAGTGTCCTGTAACCACTGATAATGGACTAGAGCATGACCAACACAAACTGTGCAGCAGCAGATGAGCTACCGTCTCTGACTTTACATCTACAAGGTGGACTGACAAGGTAGGAGTGTCTAATAGAGTGGACAGTGAGTGGACACAGTGTTTAAAAACTCCAGCAGCACTGCTGTGTCTGATCCACTCATACCAGCACAACACACACTAACACACCACCACCACATCAGTGTTACTGCAGTCTTGAGAATGATCCACCACCCAAATAGTACCTGCTCTGTGAGGGTCCATGGGGTCCTAACCACTGAGGAACAGGGTAAAAGGGGGCTAACAAAGTATGCAGAGAAACAGATGGACTACAGTCTGTAACTGTAGAACTACAAAGTGCACCTATATAGTAAGTGGAGCTGATAAAATGGACAATGAGTGTAGAAACAAGGAGGTGGTCATAATGTTATGCCTGATTGATGTACATTGATTGTTGTTGTTTATTGCTTCTCTATAATTCTCAATAATATATAAAATCCATTTTTTATAAAACATGCAGCTGTTCAGCATCTTACTGACAATACCGTCCAATTAGTTTTATTTTTAATCATCATGCCAAGTCATAACAGCCTTGTCTTGTAAATATATATTATAGTGTTAAACATTTTATTTTGGTCGTCAGTCAGTTCATAAGGCTCTGCATCTACAATTATCATTTTACCCAGTTAGGCATATTTATCCTTCTTTATCAGAATTTCTCTCTGTTTTAGATCACCATATAATTAAATAGGCATAAGAGCTTAGAATAGACAAATTCTTATACCTTTCATAAGTACCTGCAAGGCATGTCCCGCATGTGGCCAAAATATGGCTGTGTAAATGGACTGAACAATGCAGGTAGATAATTAGAGATGTGCATTGAAGAGAATGAATAAAAAAGAAGTTTATTTCAGAGGGCACCTCATGAAGAGGACACAGTATGTCATGCCATTTGGCCACCTACTTGAACATAATGTGCTGTTCTTTATATTTTACCTCAAGCTCAGTGTTGAATGCGCTACCTCAGATCTGTGGGTTATGAGTTTACATAAGGACTGACAGTGTGGCTGAACGAGCGTGGTTGTATAGCTTGACATGATGCACAAAATCCAAACTGTAGTATTTAGATTGATCAGGGAGTTTAGAGTTTTGACTTTGTTTAGTTTGTAACCTTGCTTGGCTCCGTGGGAGAGGCTGGATAAGTCGGCGTGCCTGTCTGTGTGAAGCAGAGAAAGACAGAGGGGCATTTCTGGAGGCCACCGGGGTGAGCGGGAGAAATATTGACTGGGGTTCTGTTGTCTAATGTCACATTGCAATGGAATACCCAGCTGACTCGGTGGCATTTGGAATACAATGTAGAGAATAAAGCTTTAGGCTTGTACTGAGAGCTTTTGTACGTGTGATGTGGTTTGGTCATGATTGTTGTGTGTGTGCATGTGTGTCTGGGTTTTTGGATTTGCCTATGAATGGGGAGATTAATGCTGTCCAGTAGGGCCTCACCGATGTATCAATTGGCCTAAAAGATTGGCCACAGATTGGCAAAAATCCTGCCGATAATTAGGGGTGGGCAATATGATGATATTGTATCGCTATTGTGATAAATTATGGCACAGTGTGCATTTCTGAGCGTATCATGAATATCATCTGTACTTATTACTTATTAATGTTATTACAAAGACAGCATAATTAATCCTAAGTCATTGTAGTCATAGTTTTTGACACACACACACTTTCCAAGCTACTTATCCTTCTGGGTTGCGGGAATGGGGTGGGTGCTGGAGCCTATCCCAGCGTTCAATGGGCAGAAGGCAGCACAGGTTGCCAGTGCAGGGCAGACACACAGATATGTACATTTGCACACTCACTTGCACCTAGGGGCAGTTTAGCATGTCCAATTGGCTAGACTGCATGTCTTTGGACTGTGGGAGGAAACCGGATCACCCGGAGGAAAACCAAGAGAACATGCAAACTCCACACAGAAAGGACCCTGGTTGTCCAGCCGGGGAACCGAACCCAGGCCCTTCTTGCTGTGAGGCAACAACCCTAATTATCAGCAAGATTTTTGCCAATACTTAGAAATCTGTGGAACCTTTATATAGGCCAGTTTTTTGGCTAACTGATTTATCGGTCAGGCCCTATTGGACAGTGTTAATTCGCCCATTCAAAAGCAATTCTACAAACCAAGACATATACAAAAAAAAAAAGTTTTGACCACACCACACATACAATAGCTCTCAAGCCTGAAGCCTAGATAATACAGCAATATTTTTATGTAGTACAGCAATATTTTTATGTAGTCCAAAAAAATGTGAAGAGAACTAAAGAAGAATAAGAAAAATGACAACTAAGTAAAACAACCAACTAACCCACTAAGAATGGTGGAAAGCTCCATTTCTTACACAATATTATTTAAGACTTTGTATCCTGTTTGTGTTTAAAAATGCATTTAACAACTAACAATCAGAGCAATCTATTTGAGTAACTACCTAACTTTCTGTTTACTTTCTGACTACATACGATATGTGATATTATTACAGCTGTTTTTATTAACCTGCAATATTACAAATATAGAACTATATGGAAAGTGTGACATCTGTTTAACCTTCAATTTCAGTAACCCTGAACGCATGCAGCACAAGTTGGAGAGAGCAGAAAAGAAAAAGGACTGAGAGATAATGAGGTCTAACCAGCCAGGGAGCAGATGCAATGTGGTGATTGGCTAAATGCAAATCACTGGTCACCCTCCTGATACAATCAATCAAGGCTAGCTCACACTTCATTGTGGTTTATTCCCATTTCTGCCCAAGAAATTGCCTTACAAAACTATTTGCTGTTTACTTGCCTGCGTCTAGGTAATCTAAATGCAAATACATGGAATAGGACCGGTAATAAGTGGAATAGTATGGCTCTATTAGGAGTGCCAGGGTTTCTCGGCTGTAGCTTAATGAGATTACTCATCCCCCTAGTGTTACCTAACTGGCTGTTATAGGGCCTATTTAACGTGTGAGCAACTGAGAAGATGGGCCAGTCGAAATTACACGACTGATAATGCAGGAGATCAATCCTTGTTGTTAATCCCAGGAGGGCAGGGGTTAAACAGGCCTCTACGGTCTTCCATAACAAGGTGTTGACCGTTGTTACGGTGTGATTAAGGTAATCAAAGGATTTGCACACCTTGTTCGGATCAATTCTGACTCATCCTTCCTCTCTCTGTCTGTCTCTCTCTCTCTTTCTCTCTCTTTCTCTCAGGGAATGTCTTTGTGGTTAGCCTGGCCTTTGCTGATCTGGTGGTGGCGTTCTATCCATACCCGCTGGTCCTGTACGCACTTTTCCACGACGGCTGGTCCCTGGGCGACACGCAGTGCAAGGTGAGCGGCTTCCTCATGGGCCTGAGCGTGATCGGCTCGGTCTTCAACATCACGGGCATCGCCATCAACCGCTACTGCTACATCTGCCACAGCTTCGCCTACGGGCGGCTCTACAGCTTCCGCAACACGTTGCTGCTGGTGGCCCTTATCTGGATGCTTACAGTGCTGGCCATCCTGCCCAACTTCTTTGTGGGCTCGCTGAGCTACGACTCGCGCGTCTACTCGTGCACCTTCACTCAGACAGCCAGCAGCTCGTACACGGTGGCCGTGGTGGTGGTGCACTTCCTAGTGCCGATCACCGTGGTGACCTTCTGCTACCTGCGCATCTGGGTGCTGGTCATCCAGGTGCGACGGAAGGTGAAGAGCGAGGAGCGCTCCAGGGTGCGGCCCAGCGACCTGCGCAACTTCATCACCATGTTTGTGGTGTTCGTGCTGTTCGCCATCTGCTGGGCGCCGCTGAACTTGATCGGCCTGGTGGTGGCCATCAACCCCGAGGTGATGGCGCCGCAGATACCCGAGTGGCTGTTCGTGGTCAGCTATTTCATGGCCTACTTCAACAGCTGCCTCAACGCCATCATCTACGGACTGCTCAACAGAAACTTTCGCAAAGAGTACAAGCGCATCGTCACGTCCATGTGGATGCCTCGGCTGTTCGTGACCGAAACGTCCAGAGCGGCCACAGACGGCATGCGCAGCAAACCCTCACCAGCCATCAACAACAACGAGTGACTTACGTGCTCGGCCAATCACTGTTCCCTTTCTTTCTTTCGCCTCAAATGGGGGGTGGGAGGGGGTCTCGTGGGAAGTGTGGTCTGGGCCAAAAGGCCACTCCAAGTACTACTTTTTAACGAGAGCATCAGCACTTGACATTTGTGACTTTGATCATGTCTTTACACACGGCTCAGGGTGCCTGTCTCCATTTCAAAGCACTGTTATTTATTTCATCATTTATACTGAAGCCATGTATATTCTACAGGGGTATCCTTTAACATCATTTCCACCGGATCCATCAGATCATTCCGTGTCTCGTATTTATTAAAAATGTTTTTTGGTAAATTTTTGTGCAAGTATTGAATAGTGTTTTATTCGCAAAGCCTTACAGTCAACACTTGTCCAGAAACATAAATTATCATTCAGATATTCAGGCATATAACTGGCTTGTTAAATAGGGTTTAATCCAGGTCCTGGAGGAGCTTCCAGAGGACGTTGCTCAAAAGCTGTGTGATTTTAGAGCAGGATCAGGCTCTGTCTGTTTGTGTTAAACCTGTCCTTTGATGTACACAAGGTGCCAAATTTTTATCTCCAATACAAAATACCTGAGACACAGCTTATGCCAAATTACAGCGCTCTTTTTTCACAACCAGTGGAAATAAGACTGAAAATGTCATACACTGTCATAGAGGATGTGCAGGCAATGAAGTAGAGTTATATTCCATTGCAGACAGAATCTGTCAAAGGAGTAGTGAAGCTGGATAAAGCACAACTTTTAATCTCCTCCTCCTGAGGATTCAGCCAAGATCAATTTTGCCCTTTGAAAGCAAGCGGAGTCAGTGTGAGGAGGCTCATCTCATCCACTCCGTGTTTGCCTCTTATCATTCCCACATTAAATGTCATTTATGACTTTGGGGCACTTGTTATTTTGCAGAAGAAAAAAAAAAAAGGGAATGTGCATGACAGTATTCTGTAATCTTTTACTACGTTAACAAATGTTTCGTGACAAAAGAAGCCACGGGCGAGAAGATACGAAAGCAAAAGGTCGCCGGCGAGGGGAGTGAGGTGTTTTCCTTCGGTACTATCAAGGCAAGGAAATAGTTTGAATGTATTTAAGATATGTACCTGTTTTGACTTGACAATGTGCGGTTTAATTCACCATGACACGGTGCGGCGCGGTGAGACGAGACGATATCCATGATATTAAAACCTGTACTGTGTGTGAACATGCTGCTTTACTGTTGACCTCAATAAAGGAAGAGTCCAAATGAAAGCAGTGCTGCTTATGCAACTGGTCTCTTTGGTGATGAATGGCTCGGGCTGCGGATTAGATGGAAAGGAAGAGATGCGTTTGAACTTTATGGCCGCGGATATGCGGGGAATTACCAGGAGCATATGGGAAGAAGCCGTGCAGATGGTGGTGACGAGAGTGACCACTGGCCAACCTTACAGTAATCCAGTAACCAAGCCAAACCACTAGAGAGAGAGAGGCTTACTCTCTGTACTTCACTCTTTCTGTCTCATAAAGCTACACTTGCACTCTCAGGTTGGCAGGTCTGACCCTCTCTACACTCCTGTGAGCTTGCGGTAGTGCTGACTGCTGACTGCCTCCTTTTCCTGAAGTGTGTTTTATATATATGCCCACATACAAGCTTGTTTTCCTATGTTTGTGAGGCAGTTCCACTGTGTTTGTATGCTACCATTCAAAAGTTTGGAGTCACTGTGTCTGAATAACATAAAACCAGTTTTATTGAAGATACATGTATAAAATCACTCCAATATGATGCTCATGTTCTATAGGTTTCAAATAATTAGTAGGAAGCTGTAAAAAAATTATGTTCAAAGAGAAGTGTAGATGATTCCACGGCTATTTAGAAAGCTGTGTAGTATCAAGAATGTACTTAAATATTTGAAAAAATATTTTAAGGCCTATTTAAATATTAAATAGCTATTCAAAGCAGTCACAACCAAAAATGAATAAAAAAAATGAATGAATGAATGAATTTATTGATAATTAAAGATTCTATTCAGTTATTTATTCTATTTTATTTGTTTGCCAATGTTTTGGTTTATGTTTTGGTGTCTACACTCTTAAAAAAGATGGTTATTTAAGGGTTTTTAGTAAAGGCAATGGTTCTATTTAGATGCATTTCATGGTTACATATTTCTTTATATGGTGAAATGAATAAATAAATCTATTTATGGGTAATTATTTCTTTAAGATAATTAAAGATTTCTGTAGAGAACCATATGCAACACATTCTCCATCAATCTGACAAACCATTTTACTATACAAAGAACCTTTTAGGCATGCAAATTGTTCTTTGAGTGTTCATGGTTCCATATAGAACTATTGTCTTTACTTCAGAACCCTTAAAGAACCATCTTTTTTGAAGAGTGTAGTTTATAACATTTCCGTCCACACACTTTTAAGTATTATCCATTAACAGTTATAATATGAGTAGTGATTCAAACTTATGAACACTGGTGTAAATGTGTGTAAATAATGCTGTTAATGCAGCTGTAACCTTAAAGAAATTCTCCAGTGTCTCCATCTGCCATGTGTAGCACATGGCCAAATACCAGAGACACTCATTTCGAAACATTTTACTGTCCTTAAAAAAAGAAAAGCTGCTAACTCAGAATAGACTTATGATTAAGGATGATGATATATTGGATGATGATCATAATCATATCAGTATGGCAGGTAATTACTTAAACAGCTATGTGCATCAGACAGATGTTTAGGTTTGACTGAGGTTTCGCTGGACTACTGAGCCAAAAAGTGTCCATTTTATTCATTTTGTTGTAATTTGAACAGAAATCAATGTTATATTTTTCCATAATGCTAATCCAGGTAGACGTGGACCCAATTTCTGCTTTTTATAATAGTTTACATGTCAGCATTAGCAGATACAGTAGTATGCAAAAAAATTGAGCACCACTGGTCACATTTTCTTTGGTTGATATTTAAATATTATATTAAATTTTATTTAAATTAAATACACATCCTCTACAGAGACACACTTCTGCACATTTTAATGCACAAGTACTGTTTATTTGCTGCATTTAACATATTGGAAAAAATAGAAAACATAAAATGTGGCCAAAAAAAAAAAAGATATAGCACATTTTATATTTTATTTTTTTTTCCAACATGTTAAAACTGTGCAAGCAAATAGAAATTGTGCACTAAAGTTTGCAAATGCCACATTTAAGTTTGCTCCCTGTTAAAGATGTTATTTTCACTTAGAAAATCAAGAAAATGTAATTTGACTGGTGGTGTTCAAACTTCTGTGTACTACAGGCATAAAAAATAAAATAAGCTTCGGCCCACGATTCCCATCCTGGTGCATCTCTACTTATAATAGAGGTCAGTGAGCTGGTTTTCTGTTTTTTTTTGTTTTGTTTTGTTTTCTAAGTAGGGGAAAACAATGCACATTTTGTTTTTTTGCTGAATACTTTTTAAAAGTAAGATGAATGTTTTTTTTTTTTTTATATACAGGGGCTAGCTGTACCAACCACTAACAAGTTTAGTAATTCAAAGCAAAACACAATTAATTCAAGAAATCTATGTTTGAACCAGACAAGCCTTCCAACCTAAATACATAAACATATCTGCATCAAAATAAATTCATGAAGGGAGAGTGTGTCAAACGTGCCAAATTTATTTTTGACCACAAACAGGAAAGATATCAACACAATAAAATACACTGTATTATCTGTAGTACATTATTGATGAATCTGTGCTTAAAAAAATAAATAAATAAATAAAAAATAAAATAACTGTTGTTGAATTTAGATGGTGGAACATATGACATATAAATTACATATATATTTTAGGATGCCTGGTTGTAACTAACCCCCTTGTGTGGAGGCTGTGCTTTAGCCTCATTTACATTCTTCAAAATATTTTAAGATGGCAAATAAAATAATGTAGGAGTGAATAATGTGATGTAAAAAAATAGGGTGGGTGATACGGTAAAAATATTGTATCACAACATTTAAACAAGACTCGATATGTATCACAATATTTAAGTCGGAACAGACAAAATAGAATGTGACAATGTAAAAATACTGTAATAATAATAAACCTACAAGTCAATGATTTTTATTCAGTGTTATACAAACTGTGCTGCACTAAATCCAGATAAACAGGCCTATTCATGCTCACTCTGTAAAACATGTAGTTAGTAATTGTTGTTTAAGCACTGAAAATCCACAGCATGCTCAGAAAAGCGCCCTACTCCTACTACATAAACACATAACTCAGCAATCAAGAATCACTTATGATGAAAAACATACTATTATGGAATAAATCTGATTGCTGTTAAAAATCACAGAATTTACGTTGCTATGGGAATAAGAGAACTAAAAGCATGTACTACTTCAACCTATTTAACAACATTAAATATTCATGTTACATTTTTCCCTGCATTAGTTTGTGCCCCTTTCTCCCCTGTGTGTCAAAGTCATTGTCTGTGCTTATCAGTCATACCATACAGATGTTCCAGATAGAGATTAAAGAGGAATTCCACCAATTTATTTTTAATTTCTGTATAATTAAACTGCTAAGATGTAAACAAAGTCATTGAGAGTGCTTAAATGTGAAATGCTCCATTCTAGAGAAACGTACGAGTCTGAATTGTTCACAGTGGTGCTTATAGGAACCAGACATCCAGAAGAGTTTACTGCATCTAAAAGCTCCCTAACAGAGAGTTATTTTATGAAAAAGTTATGTATATACTGCCTGATGCCTAAAACATTGTTTTATGATGGTTTTCAGGTAAGAGTTTTGCCTAAAATGTATTTTTTATCCATGGTTTAGAGGCACATCCAAAGCGTTTTAAGCAAAATAGTCTCCAAAGAAAACCTATTTTTGTCAACATTACATTGTCATCATCATTACATATTAAAACTCAGAAGACACGTCAGTCCACTGGTCATTTGAATAGTAAATATAATGACTACTTTTGCAGTGTAGACATTGTGACCCCCTGGTTCCTATCAACACCATTGTGAAGAAGATTTAAGTCAGTAAGTTTCTTAATTATTAACCACTGTGAATTACTTCGTTTAGATCTCAACCACTGAATTATGCAAGAATGCATTGAAAAATGCTGGCGTGTCCTTTTAAAATCAAAGCCAAATATACATTTTTTTGGTTGTTTACGAAGAAAGGTTACATTTTTCTGTAGAAAACAATACATTTTCCTCATGAGGACCAGCCAAATGCCCCCATAATGTCAATGAGGAGACATCTGGTCCCCAGAAAGGGCTGAAAACCTGGCCAGACAAACAAACACAAAGCGTTATCGTGTAGATTCTTGTAGCAAATGAAGCAGAGTTATCCAAATCTAGTACTCTCTCCACAAAAGAAAG